CGGCAAATATTCAATGCCAATTATGCAATAACAAGACAGGCAAAGGATAGACATATATTTAGGCTTGTTCTCATCATTCGGCATATTTGGAGGCAGTGCTCAAATGCGGTTCCTATTTGTCACGATGCCGGGGCTCTGTCATTATTCAGGCAGAGGTGAATCAAACAAACACTCAGTTTGTATCAAACAGTTTAATTAAAACAGCACTTACTTCCTGGCTGTTTTAATAGTCCAAAATATAAAACATAAAGATAGCACTCAGCCACGGAATATAAAACAAAAACTGATAGCAAAAGCTACACTGTAGTCAAAAGGTCTAGTCCAGTGGTCAAATGCCGAGAGTTCAATGAGCAAAGTCCAGGGATCAAGAGTCTATACCGTAGTCAAAAGCCAGTCCAAAGGTTCAAGGTTCCAGGATTCCAAAACTTCAGGAGACAGGTCAGGATACAAAAAATCTGGAGACCTGGGGGAAAACCAGCAGCATCTACCACCAAAATAAGACAAATACTTTTGTCCCGAAGATCAGTCCCAAGGTTATCTCCTTATATCCAGAAACACCCAGCTGCAACCCATCTCTTGCATAACTCCACCCTTGATTGCTTTCACCCATGAACTCTTACTTACAGATTACTCAACCCTTTAGAACTAAGACTTACCTTAACCCTTCCATCACCAACTGCTAGGCCTGCCACCACCAACCGCCATCAACTGCAGAACATGATACATGACACTATTCATCTACTCACATTGCTGTTTTCGATCTGCTAGGTGGGCAGGGAAGCTGGGCTGAAGGTTAGGAGCTCACCCTGACCGGGCTTCGAACTGTCAACCTTTCATTTGGCAAGATTTACTGCAGTGGCAGCTGGTGATTAAGCTGCAGTGTTAAAGGTGGCATTAGATTAAATGGCGCATTAGACTCGAGTCAGTGCAGGTATAAAGCTCCCTATGGGTTAGATCCCGAGTGTCTCCCCGCAGGGCCCTGCCTCAGTGTGCAGACCCTTGGCAGACCCCCTTGCCTTGCCATTATCCGAGGCCCATCTGGTCAAACACGGGGCCTTTTGCTGTGCTGCTTCCAGGTTTCAAGAGATACTCAGCTGCCCCCCTTTTACTACAATCGTCTGTAAAGTTCAGGGTGGTGGTGATGTGGTTGTGGTTGTGGTTGTGGTTGTGGTTGTGCTTCTTCTTCTCCTTCTCCTTCTCCTTCTCCTTCTCCTCCTCCTCCTCCTTCTCCTCCTCTTCCTCCTCCTCCTTCCATGATCCAGTCTATGTTTGCAATATGCTCCCCGCTGCCCCTTCCTTTTCTGAACCCAACGTTGATGTCACCAAACATGATAATTCTCTTCCAAACTGAAGTGATGTTCAATCCGTAAAGGATGCTAATAATTTCATTGGTTCGACCTCCCTCTTGGGGTTTGCCACTTTATGAGGCGTGAGCACGAAAAGCGAAGGAAAAGCAATGACACCGTCAACATGAGTAGAACAAAGGAAACTATTTTGTCTCTTCTCATCGTCGAGAGTGTCAAGCAGCACAATGCGCTCCTCTGCTTAGAAGGCGCTGAAGGGAAAAAAGGGAAGCGAGGCAGGAATGGCAGGGCTCTGACTCCGCACCGTGTCAAGACATGAAAGCCTTCCTTTTGCATAATTGCTGGTAATAATTCTGACAAAGTAAATATATGAGCTCTTTAAGCGCCTTCGTCATTGTTGTAAAAGGAAATACTCCATTGCTCTATTTCTCTCTGGAAAAGCAGGCCTCGCTCGGGGACAACACCTGCAGTGTTTACCCCCACCCACCCCAATTTGGATGCCTCTATCCAGGGCCATGGTGTGGGTCATGATTGTGTGGCCTTTCCCCCTGAGTTGCCTGCTCACCTCTCTCTCGGGATCCCACCTGAGGGGCTTCTGGTGCAGGGAGGGGTCCTGCTGGGAAGAGAGACCCCTGCCCTTGGACCCAGGAAGGGGCCAGGCCACAAAGGGGGGGGGGCAAAAGGGGGGACCCCTCAGTCTCCTGTTCTGGAACGAGCCAGCAAATCTGGGGGGGGGCAGTGGGATGTCCAGCCTTGCAGGCCCTTTCTCCCCTCTGCAGCCCCCTCCCCAGGCCAGTCATTCCAGGACCACGTTGGGAATCAGAGCCGTTGGGCTCAAAAATAACCCTCACTTGGGGTGATTCCGCCATAAATACAGCAGAGTGCTAGAAGCAAACTTCATAACCAGCTGAAACGTATGTGTGGTGAGTCAGGATTAGCTTCCATTGAACAGGATGAATCAGGATTGCAGAGACAGAACGTTAGGTCCAAAATACTGATTCAAGAAAAGAAATACATTCTAGATAGAAGAGGTCTTGGTGCTCACTAGCTTGCTAAATTCTAAGGAAGGTGAAAGGGTAAAAAGTCAAAATATCCATGCAGCTACATTTTGCATGGAGAGAGACAAAATGCGTCCTCACTGGAAGAGAGACAAAGGCAGAAGAGAGAGGGCAATGGAGAATGATCACAAGGTCAAAAATCCCAGAGCAATCAAAATATCTTGAAAGAGGAAGTTATGTCATCCCTCACAATCTTCAAAGGGGGGGGGGGAGATAGTGGAAAGTAAGAAGAGTAAAGGTAAAGCCCCTTCTGGGAATGTGGAGCGGGGGAGGAATCCCTCACTCTAACCCAGTGTTTCTCAACCTGGGGGTCGGGACCCCTGTGGGGGTCGCGAGGGGGTGTCAGAGGAGTCGCCAAAGACCATAAGAAAACATAGTCTTTTCTGTTGGTCATGGGGGTTCTGTGTGAGAAGTTTGGTCCAATTCTATTGTTGGTGGGGTTCAGAATGTTATTTCATTGTGGGTGAACTACAAATCCCAGCAACAACAACTCCCAAATGTTAAGGTCTATTTTCCTCAAACTCCTCCAGTGTCCACATTTGGGCATATTGAGTATTCGTGCCAAGTTTGGTCCAGATCCATCATTGTTTGAGTCCACAGCGCTCTCTGGAAGTAGGTGAACTACAACTCCAAAAATTGAAGGTCAATGTCCACCAGATCCTCCCAATATTTTCTCTTGGTCATGGGAGTTCTTTGTGCCAAGTTCGGTTCAATTTCATCATTGGTGGAGTTCAGAACGCTCTTTGATTGTAGGTGAACTATAAATCCCAGCAACTACAGCTCCCAAATGACAAAATCAACCCCCCCCCCCAACCCCATCAGTACTCAAATTTGGGCATATTGGGTATTTGGGATTTGAAAATACATTATGCATATCAGATATTTACATTATGATTCATAACAGTAGCAAAATTAGAGTTATGAAGTATCAATGTAAATAATGTAATGGTTGGGGGTCACCACAACGTGAGGAAGGGGTCGCAACATTAGGAAAGTTGAGAAACACTGCTCTAAGAGTTAAGAAACATTGAAACCATCAAGCTTCTGCTATACTTCAATAAATTTGTTGCAGTTTCTTCTAAAGCCAAGTTTCTGTTACAAATACTTTCAAGTTAAGCCACGCTACACATTGAAGAAAGACCAAATCAATATTACAAGCTATTAGCCTAACCCTATATCTAAGTCTAGCTAACAATTGAGGACTGGAGACTTGAGCAGTCCAGGGATGAAACCCAACTGGATGTCCAGCCTTGCAGGCACTTTCTCCCCTCTGCAGCCCCCTCCCCAGGCCAGCCATTCCACAATGGGGGTGGGTGGGTGTTGGGCTGGAGAGGGGCCTCCTGGGGCCACTGCTGGGAGGGGCTTGAAAAGACCGCCAGAGCCCCTGATTTACCTTATTGGGGTGGGGGGTCCATGACAAGGTGCTCTTGAGGGGGTCTCTGTCTTGGCCTCGTGGGGTCTGTGTTCTCCCTCCTGCTTGCCCACATGTTTGCCTGTCTGACTGCCGCATTGTGTGGGGGTTCTGCTGGGGAGGCCTTCCTTTGGCCCCCCTCTCGCCTCCCTCCTCACTGACCACAGCAGCATCATCAGCACGGCCTCCCTCGGCATTTTCCTCACGGCCGCTCTCTCTCTCCGTTCCATCGCCTTGCCTTCCCAAATGCCGGAGATTTACAGCCGCGGGGCCAGAGTGCGCTGTAATCCAGTTTGGGCCAATGCGAAAGCAATGAGGCTTTCGACCTGCTGCCTTCCCAGCCGTTCCTCACAGCCCTGTTACTTGAGAGCTTGCTTTGGGGGGGGGGGTGTGGAAGAGAGAGAAAGGGGGGTGGGCAGCCAGGAAAAAAAGGGGGGGGGGGAGAGAGGCAGGAATGGATCAGGCCTTCACAGACTAGACTGACTTGCTGCCAGAGTTACAGTTTTTATGGACTACTAGCCATCCCCTGCCACGCGTTGCTGTGGCCCACTCTATATATATGTATTTTGTGTATGTATATATGTAATTGTGTATATGTGTATATATGTGGTTTAGCACATGCATTTTAATGTATTAATGTATTTATTATTTTTTGCTTTTTAAGCCTCTTCCGCTGTGTTTCTCAGTGTTTTTAGGAGTGATGGTCACTCGTTGGCCTGAGAGGTGCCTTGTGTCCAAATTTGGTGTCAATTCGTCCAGTGGATTTTGAGTTCTGTTAATCCCAAATACACATATATACACAAATATATACAAACACAAATACACAGACCAGAATATGCATTGCAATGTAATTTTTATTTTTTGGCTTTTTAAGTCCCTTCCGCTGTGTTTTTCAGTATTTTATGAGTGATGGTCACTCGTTGGCCTGAGAGATGTCTTGTGTCCATATTTGGTGTGAATTCATCCAATGATTTTTGAGTTATGACTGAGGGGGAAAAGGAAGGGGCCTGAGGCTGTTAGGAACTCTGGGAGTTGAAGTCCAAAACACCTGGAGGGAGGGCCCAACTTTGTCCACAATCCTGTGGGATCTGGTCGCAAAAGGCAACCTTCCTCCGCTGTCTCTCTGGGGCTGTGAAGGCACCCCATCTTAGGCACTCCATCCGCTCTGAGGGTCTCCTACCCAATTCCAGTACTCACCGTGCGCCCCGTTCCGCTTCCCCCTTGCAGGCATCGAGTGCCCCCGCGGAGCCCGGAACCTCCCCGGCCTGGTCCAGGAAGGAGAGCCCTTCAGCGAGGAGGCCACACTCTTCACCAAGGAGCTGGTGCTGCAGAGAGAGGTAGGGGGGTGCCACGTTGTGGAAGTACGGGGAGTTGGGGGACGGGGTCTTGGCACTTTGTGGAGGTAAGCGTGCAAAGTTGCGTCCTCTTCAGGTGGAGGAGGAGAGGGGGTTGAGGGATGGGGGGGACGGGCTCTGAGTGTTGAGAGCCCACAAAGGCCTTGGCTCCCTTGAACCCGTGGCCTCCATGTTTTCCTGTTCTCCGTGGAATTTGGTGAGCTGGGGAGAGTGTTTACGTGTCCCTGTTGTGCTCCTTCCCTTTGGCTTTGGAGCAGGGCAGCTCCCTCTGTCTCTCCGTCCATCTGTCCATCCCTCCTTTGGGTGAAAGGGGACATCCTTGTCTTGTTCCTTTCTGGATGGGAATAGTTGTGGAGTGTTGACCATTTATAGCTACCTTGGCTGTTTGATACGAGTATATTGAATTTATTGTGTTAGTGTAATAGTATTCTATGCCCATTTCTTTTAATACTGCAGTGGGGAAATTCCAGTTTACGCTATCAAAAGCCTTTTCTGCATCAAGAAACATCAGGGCTACTTCTTTGTGGTTATTTTCCTCATAGTATTCGTTAATATTCATGATCGTTCTTATGTTATCCCTTTGATGACGTTTTGGGAGGAAACCTACTTGATCTTCTCCTATTCTTGCACTTAATAAGTCTTTTAGTCTAATAGCCAGTATGCTGGAGAATATCTTATAGTCTACGTTAGTCAAAGAGATTGGTCTATAGTTTTTAAGAGAGATACTTTCTGTATTTTCTTTATGTATTATGGAGATTATCACTTCTTTCCATGACTCTGGGATGATCGATGCTTCCATTGCTCTATTCATAACTTTCTGTAGTTATGAATAGAGCAACTTTGGGTGATTTGCACCCGATGCCCCCGTGACGTCAGGACTCTGGGCAAGAGGAGATTTCCATTGTGGCGCCGCTCTCTGCTGTGTTTCTCCCATCCCTCGGCCCCCATTCCACTCTGTCTCCGCCAGTGGATGTGCCTCACGTGTTGGGACTGGCTCCACAGTGGGGTGGTCACTCTCTTTGGCCCCTCCCTCGCCCCCAGTGCTGGTCCTGCCCCGGACGAGAGGGCGATAGGCACTCCACTCTGCACATGCTTCCCTTGTATCTGTGTAATCCCCGGTCTTGGAAAGAGGGCCCCGAGAATGGTGTCTCAGTCCCCGTTCCACTCTGTCTCCGCCAGTGGATGTATTTCACGCGTTGGGACTGGCTCCACAGTGGGGTGGTCACTCTCTTTGGCCCCTCCCTCGCCCCCAGTGCTGGTCCTGCCCCGGACGAGAGGGCGATAGGCACTCCACTCTGCACATGCTTCCCTTGTATCTGTGTAATCCCCGCTCTCGGAAAGAGGGCCCCGAGAGTGGTGCCTCGGTCCCCGTTCCACTCTGTCTCCGCCAGTGGATGTGCCTCACGCGTTGGGACTGGCTCCACAGTGGGGTGGTCACTCTCTTCGGCCCCTCCCTCGCCCCCAGTGCTGGTCCTGCCCCGGACGAGAGGACGATGGGCACTCTACTCTGCACATGCTTCCCTTGTATCTGTGTAATCCCCGCTTTCAGAAAGAGGGCCCAAGGAGGCCACACTCCACCAGGAGCGGTGCAGGACTTACAGTCGCCATGGGGCCCCTTCCTGCCACGGGTTGAGGCCACGTGGGCGGCTGAGGACAACCTTCCGAAAGGCGTCTGTGGCGTGTCCTGTGCGCCTCGGCATTGAGCTGTATGCTGCTGCTGTCTGTTGCTTGATTTCTCCTGCCTGACCTTGGTGACTCCTTTGCAAATGAGGAAATGAGGGATAGCGCAGAAGCGGAAAGGCAAAGTGCCTGGAGGCAGGAACAGAGGGAGCTCCAAGGGTGGGGGGGGGAGGAGGAGGTTGGGGCCCCCTGGCTTCTCTCCTGCTCCCCCCTTTTGTCGCCCCTCGCCTCCCTCTTGGGCTGAAGGGAGTCTGGGGTGGGGGCTGTGGGGGGGGGGGGCTGGACCTGCTTTCGATAGGGAGCTGTCCCCTGTGGAGGTGATTCCCTGGCCTCTCTCCTCGGGCCCCTCTCCTCTCCTTCCTTGACACTTCCTGGGGCCCTTTCCTCCTGGGACGGGGGTGCCCCAAGGCTCCTTGCACCCCTGCCCCCTTTGACTGTGCTTTCCCTTCATGGCAGGGGGTTGGACTGGATGACCCATGTGGTTTCTTCCAGCTTCATTACTCTGTGGTTCTGCCATTCTTTGCATTCTCTGCAAGGGTGGGGGACACTTTGGGATGCCTGTGGGGGAGGCGGAGCAGTGCTGGATGACCGTTGCTCTTGCAGGGGACAAGTTCCACTCCTGGTCACCAGCCCTGGGCACAAGGCGGGAGAAGTGGAGGGGAGCCGTGGGAGGTGGACTGGCTGCAAGAGGGGACCCCAAGTCTGTTGGGTCTCAGTGGGGGGGGGGGCGCTCTTCCTTACAGTGGCCTAATGACAGACCCGGTGCAGAAGTGCACCCCCCCCCTTGGTACACCCCCCTCCCAGTTGGCTTCCTTGGCAAAGCCCCCGCAGCCCCTTCTTACCTGTGCGGCATGAAGGTTGAACATGGCTGCCGCTGCTGCCCCTCAAAACCCCAATCCTAGCAGACAATGCGGAGGAGAGAGTTGCTGTGGGGCAACGGCCGGGGCATCTCTCCTGGCCGCAGAGAAAAGGAGTGGACAGAAGTGGCAAGAGGTCGAGGGATCTCCACTGCAGCCGTGTGGCTTCTGCACATGCACAGGAACCATCAGAAGGTGCTCTTGCCCAGTGGAGCACCCATCCTTTGCTTCTACCCATTGGGGTGTGTGTGGGGGGTGATCCTGTTCCGCCCTCTTTGGCCTTTTGTGGTTGTTTTGGGGTGGGGGGTGTCCATGGCCATAGGTCTCTGACCTCGTGTTTGTTTGTGTGGACAGGAAGCCCAGGGCTTGGCCTTGGATCTCCCTCTCTCCCTCTCTGTCCCTGTGGGTTGGGAGCATGCCTCTCTTGCAAGAGGATGGATGTGGGATCTGAAAGGTGGCTGGAGGCTGTGTTGCGCTTCCCTGATTGGGGCTGGTCTCTCTTTGTGTGTGTGTGTGTGTGTGTCTCTCACCCCAGTGCACTTGGCCTAATGAGGCGGTGATTCATAATTGCCAAAGGAGGAGTGGAGATGCCCTCAAAGGAGGAGGACGAGGAGGAGCGAGGCCTCGCTCGCTCGCTCACTCCCTTCCTGTTCTTCTACCTCCAGAGTTGGGCTACGCAACGCACACTGCATAGAGACAGGCTCAGAGTGGGCTCAGGGGGAGCAGGGGCCTCTGCGCTGGCGACCAAGGGGAGCCCAGGAACCATCTCCAGGGCCCCTTCCTGCCACCGAGGGAGGGTGAGCTGTTTGCGGGAGGGAGACTGTTCCTGAGGGCAGGGGTTCTAGAGCTAGAGTAGAACCAGACTGCAATGGAGAGAAGGGAGTGACCAGTACAGGAACCCAACAGTGGAAGACCAATGACCTGGAATAAGAAGCTGGAGGTGGGGTTAGGTAGGGAAATAAACAAGTAGAACTTGAACTGTTAACACAACAGACCAAACCCGATATCATTGGCATCTCTGGTGGGGTGAGTCTCGTGGTTGGAATGCCATCATAGAGGGGTTCAACCTATTTCGGAAAACTAGGAGGAGGAGGAGGAGTGTATCACTGTGTATCAAGGATGTTTACACCTGTGAGGCGGTCCATGGTGTAAATCCTGGAAGCTTGGTTGAGAGCACCAGAGAAACAATGAAGGGGGAAAGAAGGAAACCATGGAGTCCTTGTGAGGGTCTGCTACCGGCCTCACAAGCCAGACCATGGACCTGCATGAAACCTTCCTTCAGCAGGTGACAGGAGGAAGAGATATAGTGGGAAGAGGGGATTTCAACCATCCTGATATTGGTTGGAAAGCCAACTTGGCCAAGAGTATGAAGCCCAACCAATTCCTCAAGCTGGAAGAGGCAACCAGGGGATCTGCTCTTCTGGAACTGATCCTCACCAACACTGAGGTTCTAGTCAACAGAGTGGAAGTGGCGGGATCCTTAGGTGGAAGTGGCCATGTTCTCCTGGAGTTTGGGATACAAAGGAAGGGGGCAAGTAAGAGAAGTCAGGACATTTGGGAACTCAGGACACTTGGGAAAATGCAAAAAAGAAAGCAGAGACCAGAACATGGAGCAAGAGATCCAGATGGCAGGAAAAGAGGTTCCACCTGAATATTCGGAAGAACCTCCTGAGGGCCAAAGCTGTCCAACTGTCGAACGAGCTGCTCCCTTGGAGTCTGGTGCCTGGGACAGAGCTGGGCGTCTGTTGAGAGGGCTCAGGCTGAACCTTCCTTCCTGGCAGGAATGGGGTTGGGCTGGATGCCCTTGGGGTTCCTTCCGACTCTGGGATTCTAGGGTCTCACGAGGCTGAAGCTCTTCTGGGTGGCCTTTCTTCTTCCGGCCCTTTCTCTGGGGTGGGACCTTCCTCCTTGCCATCCTTTCCTTCCTCCTTTCTTTCTTTTTTTCTTTCTTTCTTTCTTTTTCTTCTTTCTTCCGTCCATCCGTCTTCCCGCTGCCTCTGTGAGTCACCAGCAGATGATGGCTGGGGACGGCTGCCGCCGCTGCAGCAATGAGGTCGGATCTGTGTTGTAAGGGGGGGGGGGGAGATTAGCTTCCTCCCTCTCTCCCTCCCATCCATTGGTTCCTGAGCTTGGATTGGCTCCCAGAGTCTTCCATCACCCCCCCTCTGCTGTCATTTTAGGGAGTGGGGGGGGGGGGAGTTGGGGGTGTTATAGTCCGCGCTGCAGCCAATCTGGCTGAGAGGGTGCGGGTGCAGAGCCCCCTTTCTCTGTGCATTTGTCTCTTTGCCTTGGGGAAGGGGGGGGGCAAGTATGCCTGGGAGTGGCTTGGCCGCCTGGGGGCCCTGAGTGCCGCCCCCACCCCCTGGTTGGCAGAAGCGCCGGGCTGAGCTTGCAGAACAGCAAGGCTTGCTTTGCTTGCATCAGCGAGAGGCAACGTTGCCTGGC